TATTTCTGAAGACAGGAAGTAGCACGGAATGAATTATTCTTCAGTGTCTTTGCTCATCCTCAAGCTTATGCTATATGCTGTGTGGTTTTCAGAGCAGGTGCCCCACCACTTGCTGTTTCTGCTGAAGTCACATGGTCGCCCACTTGCCCGCATTCCTAGCTTACAGGTGTGTGATTCTTCTGCCAGGCTCTCTCTGAGGGTTGTGGCTTTATGAGAAGATTTGCCACCAGATGCAGATATTCAGCCCCCACTCTGACATCTTGTGCAATTTCATTTTCTTCTCTATCACCGACCAAAAATTCTTTCAACAATAAAGGAAACAACTGAAGGGATTACCTTGCCAGCAAAGTCCACCATGCTGCCAGGCCTCACTGCTCCTGAAGATATCCCTTATTACTTATTGTGTGGTGCTGTGTTGTAAGGACTGAATTATGGAGCATATTTCCTTTCCCCATTCACAGTGTTTGTGACTAAATGCAGGTGAGCCCTTGGAGCCCAGGGTAGGAAGCACTAGAAATCTGTCTTCCCACCTAGACAAGGATTCCATTGGCAGAAAAAGGGCAACATACACAGTGGGAGAACATATTTGCAAATCATATCTGATAAGAGATCAATATCCAGGATATACAGAGAACAACTCAAACTCAACATTAAAAGAATAAACAACATGATTCAAAAATGGGCAAAAAGGGATGCCTGGGTGGCTCAGCAGTTGTGTGTCTGCCTTCAGCTCAGTGAGTGATCCCGGAGTCCTGGGATCGAGTTCCACAGCGGGCTCCCTGGATGGAGTTTGCTTCTCTCTCTGCCTGTGTCTCTGCCTCTCTCTGTGTGTCTCTCATGAATAAATAAATAAAATCTTAAAAAAAATGGACAAAGAACTTGAAGACATTTCTCCAAAGAAGACATATAAATGGCCAATAAGCCCAGGACAATATGCTCAACATCACTGATCATTAGGAAAAGGCACATCAAAACTGCAATGAGATAATGCATCATACCCATTAGGATGGCTACTATCAAAGAAAGAGAAAGTAGCAAGTGTTGGTGAGTACTTGAAGAAATTAAAACCCTTGTGTGCTGTTGGTGGCAGTGTGAAATGGTATAGCCACAATGTAAAAATAAAAGGGTAGTTTCTCAAAGAATGAAACAAAGAATTACCACATGATCCAGCACAAAATTCTCTGGGTATATACCGAAAAAATTGAAAGCAGAGTCTTGAAGAGATTTTTGGATATCCATGTTCATATAAGTGTTATTCAAAATAGCTAAAATGTGGAAGCAACACAAGTGTCCACTGACTTGAGAAAGGATAAGGAAAATGTGGCATATGCATACAATGGGATATTATTCAGCCTTAAAAAGGTAGAAAATTCTGAAATATGTACAGTGTGAATGAATCTTGAGGACAGAAAGTAGAATGATGACTCCCAGGGGCTGAGGGACATCAGGATGGGGAGTTAGTTTAATGAGTGCAGAGTTTCATTTTTACAAGATGGATGATGTGATGGCTATATGACAATTGTGAATGTATTTAAAATCTCTGAGCCCCATATTAAAAGTGGTAAATTTTGTGCTATATATATTTTACCATAAGAGAAAACTTTGAAGGGCAGCCCAGGTGGCTCAGCAGTTTAGTGCTGCCTTTGGCCCAGGGCCTGATCCTGGAGACCAGGATCGAGTCCCACATCAGGCTCCCTGCATGGAGCCTGCATCTCCCTCTGCCTGTGTCTCTGCCTCTCTCTCTCTCTCTCTGTGTCTCTCATGAATAAATTAATAAAATTAAAAAAAAAAGAAAAGAGAACACTTTGGAAAAAGAAGTCGTAAGAGCAGACTTAGAACCTGCTACTACATGGTAATTTGTGGCAGAATGGGATTTATCTACTACCTATTGATAATGCATGAAAACCAGAGCCAGAACTGAGTAAAGGCAAGGCTTGGGGGACAATTGCACCAGGCTTTAAGATTGCCTCGACAATGACTCCCAGTCAGAAGTGTTTGAGGGGCATTGTCCAGTAGGAAGATGCTGCAACATCGCCTTCCCCAGCAGAAGACCCCAAAACTCTAGAGCAGAAAGTAGCTACTGTAAAATAACTGACCTGTGAAACTTGGATCTTCTATAAAGGGTGGAGGAAAGTAGGCTGATTAACAGAAGGCTGAGATTGTGGGAAATGCAAAGAATTACTTGTTCCATTGTGTTTTGCCCTGCTCTGAAAAATAGAAGAGAGACTGTGTCCCTACAGAGAGAACCAGGTTGCTAGGATGCAGGGGTCAGGGTAGAAATGGAAATAAAAATAAAATGGAGAGGAAGGGGAAGGGCTGGGCAGGGCAGGTAAAGCAGTGTCTCCCAGCTCAGAACAACCCCTGGCCCTGTAAACATGGTTCATACTTGAGCTTCTGCACTAGAACTCCTCAGTTACTATCTACAGGGAAAAGTACTGGCTCATGGCAGAGAGACAACCTGCATCAGAAATACCTGTGGGTTTTAAAAATTTGGATTCCGGGATCCTAGAACAGATGTGAATCAGAATCTCTGGATGAGTAGGTTATTATTACAAAGCTTCAGCCATGTTTATGCTCTGAAAACCTTTTCAATTCAATTCAAATTCAGCTGGTATTACAGAATTTATGCCACCATAACTGGTAGCCTGAGCTGGGCAACTGGCCATCACTCCACCGCAACCCCCCAAGAAGGGTATTATTGAGAACAGGTGGATTACAGGTCTGATGCCAAGAAACACAACACAGAGCTCCTCATAGCATCCGTGTCAGATTGTACTTTCCAGAGACAATTGCAACAATATCTCCTGTACTTTATACTCTCCAAGGATCTTGCCACCATACATTGAAAGTTAGGTTCCATGTCCCCTCTCCCTTGTACCCGGTGGACCCTTGCAACTGCTTCAACCAAGAGAGGTCAGCAGAGGTGATGCTATATGACCTCTGAAACTAGGTAATTAAAATGTTGTGCATTTCCATATTGTCCTTTTGAGAAACTTACCTTGGACACTCTACGACTATACTGTGAGGCAGTCCAGCAGCCTCTTGCCTAATGTGGAGAGCAACCCAAGGCTTGAGCCCTGGCTGAGCCACTAACCAAGCGGCAGCAGCAGGTAGATATGAGTGCATCATCTGAAAACTATCCTGCAGCCCAAGGTGAGCCACCCCAGTTCACACAGCATGAGTAGAGATGGGAGATCCTGCCCAGATTGTTGACTCTTGAGTAGAAGAAATGACTATAGTTGTTTAAGCCACAAAGCAGCCACAGCTAACACTGATGCAGGATCCATGGGAGAAAGGATGTGTGAATAATCTTTCTGCGCTCTGAAAGGTGAAATGAATTCTCTTTTGCTATTCTTTGTAGGTTTATAAATCACCTACATGTCTCCCTTCGCAGTCTTACCTTCCTCACAGAAGTTGCTGCTTCTTGGCTCTAGCAATTGACTTCTAGCTTGTGCTAGCATTTAAGGAGGGTTTGATTTAATTAAGAGAAATAGCCTGTACAAGGAAGCCTAAGGTATTTGGACTGCCCAGGAGAAACATGATGTCGAGAGTGGGAGAATGAGTCTAAAATAACACTTCTCAGTTAGATCAAAGATTACAAGAAAATTCCTATTTACCATGACTTTTATGTACAAATGCATACAGAGTATGTTGCAATTTTCCAATAAGCAATCTGGAAAACACTTTTTTTTTTTTAACAGCAGAATTCCACTCCTATCCTGCACCTTAGGGGGTGTGGTTCCTAGAACAGAAAGCTGAGATAGAACTAAATTATTCTGTGTGAGAAAGTTATGTGAACTAACCCCATGTTCACTGTAGCATTATTCACAATGGCCAAGACATGGAAACAATCTAAGTGTCCATTAAGGATGAATGGATAAGGAAGATATGGTGTATATATATGCAATGAAATATTTCCCAACCATATGAAAGAAGGCAATTCTGTTATTTAGGACAGCAATGGATGGACCTTGAAGGCATTAAGCTAAGTGAAATAAGTCAGTCAGTAAAAGACAAACACTGCGTGGTATTGCTTATATGTGAAATCTGAAACAAACAAACTACCTGAACTCATAGACAGATTGGTAGTTGCCAGAGGTGGGCATGGTGGGATAGGTGAGACGGGTGAAGGGAGTCAAAGGTATACACTTCCAGATATAAAATAAATATGTCATGGGGATGTAACGTACAGCATGGTATTGTATATTGTAAAGCATTGCGTGTTGGAAAGTTACTAAGAGAGTAATCTTAAAAATTCTCAACACAAGAAAAAAATTATAACTGTGCAGTGGTAGATGTTAGTTAAGCTTATTGTTGTGATCATTTTGCAACATATACATGTATCTTATAATATTGTACACCTACAACTCAATTATGTCCCAATTTTTAAAAATGTCATATTAACCTTTGGGGGACAGGTAGAAAGAAAAGTATGTGGCGTTCCTTGGCTGGCCTCTTGCAGATGACTTCAGAGAGGATAGAAATGTCTAATGGCAATTTCAGTTAGAAGATTCACTATGTGGTTTATGACAGAAATCCTCTCTTTGGTCCATATGATCTATGGTAAATTCTGGTAAATATTCCAGGAATGGATTTACTTTATGGGGCTATAAGAAGTGCCAAATGGCACCCTGGTTCCCAAAGAGAGGTCGATAGTGGATCAAAATACCACCCTTTCTTAGGGTAAGGGATTGCTCAGGGTGGTGGGAAAGTCTAAAATTAGAAAAGCCTTTCACTTGACAACATTTAAAACACTTTTTATTCTGGACATTCTCAAACATATATAAAGATAGTAAAGTGGAATAAAGAATCTTTATGTGTCAACTATACTTCCAAAAAAAACCCCAACCCTTTTATCATTAAAAAAAAAGAAGACTCTTCATGTACCCATCATTCAGATTTAATATTTTGACAAATCTGGGTTCATTTTTTAAAAATCATATTGTAACTTTTCATAAAGCTGTATCAAAAGACAAGAAATGTTGAAGACATTAATTTTTAAAAAATATTTTATTTATTAGAGAGAGAGAGAGCACAAGCAGGGGGAGCAGCAGGCAGAGGGAGAGGGAGAAGCAGGCTTCCCCCTGAGCAAGGAGCCTGATGTGGGGCTTGATTCCAGGACCCGGGATCATGACCTGAGCTGAAGGCAGATGCTTAACCAACTGAGTCATGCAGGTGTCCCAAGGACATTAATTTTTTAATAGCAGTCATCCAGAACAGCACTGGAAATATATTTCTTCTGAAATAAACTAGAAATTAAAAATGTCTTGAAGCCATTGGAAACCACAGGATTAGTTGAATTAGTTTCTAAGATTTGGGGTGAGATAGCACTCAACAGATGTAGTATATCATTCTAGCATTTCTTTCACCACATTGTGAATGTGACCTGTAGAAATCAGGAAAAAAAAAAAAAAGAAGAAAAGAGAGAATAAATGAATGAACAAATTAGGATTTATCAGTTTCGTCTTTCTTTACATTATCTTGTTCGAATATCAAAACTTCCATTCTACTCCTCCCCTACTGCCAAATTGCTACATATTTGCAATCTACATCAAACCATGGCCCCCGGTTCAGCACACTGTATTAGAAAGAGTCACCATCATCAGTTAAGGTTCAGAGGAGTTTCCTAGGTTAGAGCCTCATTATGCGTCCTTGCTTGAAAGCTGCATTGGTTTGTTCTTCCACAATATCTATTAAGTGCCTACTAGGTGTCAGGCATTGTTGTTAGGTGGTTGAGGGAACTGGCAATAGAATGCTCTGTAGATTGGCAAAGTTAGCTTCTGTTAACAAATGTCCATGTATCATCAACCATGCCAAGGTAAGAGTCTCCAAGAGGCAGAGAATACCAAACGATCTTTGCCACTAACTGGATAACTAACTATAACAGTAAACTGTCACATCCTTCTTCCTCTAGGACTACTTTGACATCAGATTCCAAGTCATTGTTAATATGGGCCTTTTAACAAATGTCCTTGCTTGGAGAGACAACAGTCAATTCTCGGGAGGTAGAGTATAAGGAGGAAAAAGAGTGATCTGGACTCTGGATGAGAGTGAATAAAGCACATTAGTTCTTGAGGGAAGCCATTAAAACAATCGGAAGACAAATGCTAGGATACTAAAATGGTATGAAAATGAAACATGAAATGAACTAAAATGAAGAAGGACTTTATTTTGTGAGGTATGTGGCAAAATAGCTAAGAAAGAGACAGATTGGGCCAGTGACAATTTATCATACACATGAATGTACCATCCTGAGCAAACATTCCCAAAGACCTGATGGGAGCTAGGATTTTATAGATAATAGCCATTTCCAAGTGAAAACTAAACTTTGATTGCAAATTCCACAGGGCCTGGCAATAAGAGATTGAAAGACAGGACAAGTAAACTATTACTCATTTGTCTGAGAGAAACAGGTACTCAGATTAAAAATGTAACTAGGGGAGCTAGGAAATAGGTAACTGAGCAGTTACCCAACTTTGACAATACAGCCACCAAAAAGTCAGTAACTCTTCTTCATAGTGGGGGCTTTGGGAATTTTGGATGACTGGGTGAAAGGTCCACACTAACTTTACAGAGATTTATTTATTTATTTATTTATTTATTTATTTATTTATTTATCATAGACAGAGAGAGAGAGAGAGAGAGAGGCAGAGACACAGGAGGAGGGAGAAGCAGGCTCCATGCTGGGAGCCTGACGTGGGACTCAATCCTGGGACTCCAGGATTGCACTCTGGGCCAAAGGCAGGCGCTAAACCGCTGAGCCACCCAGGGATCCCCACTTTATAGAGATTTAAATAGCTTCCTGTCACTTTGGAGGAAGGATTATTATGTTAATATTCTGGTGTTGTCACAGAACTAGGCACATTACATAATCACACTTAGTATAACACCTCATTTGGTTAGTGTTGGCAGAGAAGACCTAGGAACTAGACTTAGAGAAATGAATGTCTGGTCGCACACATAATTTGACTACCAAAAATCATGGTCTAGTTAACATACACATGGTTCATATGTGGCATGTTCATTTGGTACCTCACACAGCCACTCTTCCTGTGGTAGACAACCTAACAAATCTTCAAATTCTTTCCTATCCTTCCAGGTTTAGCCCTTTCAACCCATGGAGGCTGACTACCAACTGTTGGTGTAGGCTAGCAATTAAAAATGAGTTGTCCTCCATTTTGCAAGGGATGTTGCATGTATTTGTGAGAGAGGACCAAAAAAATAAAGGATGTTGTTATTGAGAGTTCATTTTGATATTCCTAAATCAAACAATTCCCACCAACTTACCAAGTGCCTTTTAGAAAGCATTCATTGCTTTTCTTTTTTCAATATCTCGCTTGAGTTGACAAAGGGTGCATAGAGGGAAACATCCCAGCCATAGGAAATCACTGAAAATAGATCCCTGTTAAAAAACAAACATTGGATCAGCATATAGCCCATAAATATAGTCACACAATTCCTTGTATTTGTATAGCTTTTTAAAACTTTTTAAAAGGTATCTTTTATGCTACTGGTTTATCATGAGAATTCTCATTATACCCATTTTTCTGATGACCAAGTGAAGGTAAATAAGTTGCTCAGATTACATAACAAAGTGGTAGCTGCACTTGGTCTTTCTTTTATCAAGCCAGTGCTCTTACCATAGTATAACACAATTTCAAATGATTTCCTGGTTCAAGATAGCTTTTGTCCTTTAGCATCTCTTCTGAAATGCTTCCCTTTAAAACCAGCTGTAAAATGCACCAGTTTTTCTGTAGTTTGAGAGCAGAGCCAGACCAAGGCACACATTGTATCCCTCTAGTCATTTTCATTGACATCTCTCAAGTTCTGCAATGGAGGAAGTTTGGAGCAGAGGGGAGATACATAAATTTTGGGGAAAAGAATGAATATTGTTTGGAAAGCCATAGAATAGGGTACTTTGCAAGGATTTGAGGGCCCTCTAAATAGAAGGGTCCATTTGGATCCTCAATGACCTTCTGGGAAACATACCCTTGAAGGGACTCCTGTTCTGGTTGCAGGAGGCACTGGGTGAACCAGGGAGTTATAGTCTGATAACCCGATTTTATTACAGTGTATCTTGACAGATGGAAATAATTTTGAACTCCATTATTTGACAGGGCTTATTTTTTTAAAATATTAAGTTTGCTATAATTCCCAGTTTACAGTGTGAGCTCACGGGGTGGGGCAGGGGTGGTGTATAATCAGGAGCTTCTAAAAAGTGAAATTATGAGTGATTTATGTTTTACACACAAAAATTTTTCTCATTGTTACAGTGATTTTGATTGTTATCTAACAGAATAAGCATGTGGGGCAAAAGAGCAAACAAATAGCAGTCTTAAAAAATCTAATGCTGTGATCTCATGATATGGAAGAATGGGTACTAAGCTTGAAAATAATTCAGTACTTGGGATGCCTGGGTGGCTCGGTCAATTAAGTGTCCAACTCTTGGTTTCAGCTCAGGTCAAGATGGAGCCCCATATTGGGCTCCCCACTCAGTGCAGAGTCAGCTTGAGATTCTCTGCCGCTCCCCTCCCTTCCCCCTATGTAAAAGAAATTAATTAATTAAATAAATATTTGGAAAAGAATAATTTTGTCCCTTGTCGTCTCTTTTTCCTGATAACCTTTACTTATAGTACTTATTTTTTGGTTTTAATTCATTATTACTTTTAATTTTTTTTTATCTTTTAAACCTTCATTAAACCAGCATTATTAAACACTTATAATATGTCACAAGGAAGAAAGTATTCTTATTTGATGAGGATCTAATTACTTGGCTGTTCCAGCACATCTATACCTGTCTTTTAACCCAGCTAGTTTTCAGGGGGAAAAAATCCCCATTATTATTTGTTGAGAAACCTAGGAAACCTATAGAAAATAAACCCTGATTCTAAGTACGTTACACAGTGTTGATACAGAGAAGAAAAAAATCATTCCTTGCTCACAGTGAGAAGAAATGAGCTATAGGTTTATACCATGCTGAAGTTAACAAAAGACAGAATTGTTTTGACCAGAGAACACCCTTTCAAGAAATGGGTGCCAGAAATAAAGATTCTGCACTCATTACTCTGTTTGGTTAAATGAACTGGTGCTTTACTTGTTTGGAAGTTGTCTTGTTATGAGCACTACTTAGGAATCACTGAACAAATAAATGAATGAATTAGGGTACATGGCTGGCTTCCTTCTCAGGAAGGCAAGATGTAATGTTGGAAAAACCAGACTGTTGGGAGTTAGGATAACCTTGAGCCCAAATTCCAACATTTACATGTTCTGTGACCTCAAGATATGGTTTCCATATTTACAAAGGGAAGTAACAATTCCTGCACCACAAGAGTTTGCCAGTAGTGAATGAGCAAATATAGGTGAGATAATACCCCAGCTTATGGTAGTATAATCAGTGGTTGTCTCTTTTCTTCCTCCTTCTCTCCTGCCCTGCCCAAAGGGATGTATCCATAAAGCAAAGGGCAGATCAGAGAGGCTGCATTGTAGCAGCCCCATAAAAGTTTGCATGGGTGTGAAAGGAAAACAAAGCAGAGAGCCTGAATGATACAAACCAGTCCTGGGAATTATTTTTAGGTCTGTTCTAAGGAGGAAATAGAGATACACTGCCTATAAATAAACTGCTTCATTGTGTGTCTAGGAAACCTACTATATCTAGAATCTTAGGCCTAGAAATCATCTTGCACAACTTCCTCATGACAGGTGAGAAAACTGATGCCATCACATGACTTATTAGTCAAAAAGTTAGCTATTTGCTCAGCTGTTCCCAAACCCTTATCTCCAGGTTCCAGCTCAGTGCCCCTTCCTAGGTACTATGTTGGGGTTTTAGGCTGCTTTGAGAACCTTACCCTCACACCCTCACACCATATACATAAGTACACATGCATGCACTTTGCATACAATTCAGGAAGTTCAAGGTCCAGGCACAAGGTTAAGAACCCCTGTGTGTTATGCTGCCTTACAGGTAGCATGAATGAAAGTAGCCTTGAGCACTGAGCAAGTCAGGAGGCAGAGCAAGTACACAGGAGAAATGAGGCCAGGGCCCTGAACACACCTCTGCCCTGAGGAAGTGGTTTAGTAATTCTCTGAGAAAAGTACAAAAATAAAAATAGTTGTTTACTGAGCACTTATTGCATGCCAGGTCCTGTGCTATGCCCTTTCCATATATTATTTTACATGACTCTTTCTACATGATCAAAGGGGAGGTGTCATTATAACTATGTATCAGTGAGGGGGTCAAGGCTTAGGGAGATTAATAACTTGCTTCTGTTCCTATGGGGGCAGTTTCCAGGAAAAGAATCCATCATATCACTTCTTTATTTAAAATATTTCAATGGCTTCCCTGCTCATTCATGGCAACAACTAAAGTTCTTACAATGGTTTTCAAAGGCCTAGAGTTTCTAAGTCTTGTTCTGATGTCATCTCTTTCTATGGCATCCTACCCCCACCCCCTCATTCATTTGATTCTTGCCTGTCTGGCCCCTTGCAGTTTCTGGAACATTCCAGATATACTCCTTTAAAGCCTTGAGTGACACTCTTTCCTCTGCCTGGCTCTTCCTCAGATGGGCCATCTTCCCATCCTTTTACTTTTGTACCAAGGCCTTCTCTGATAACCCTATTTAAAGTTAAAACTCCCTTTCTAAAATGTGGATGGTTATTGAATTTTATTGATGTTTTTCAGACATCAACTGAGCTGATCATATGGTTTTTCTTTTTTTGAATCTATAAATAGAATATTCTGCTATTGAACCATCTTTGCATCCCAGGGGATAAATCTTGCTTAGATAAAAATATATTTTATGATACTGAAAAAAATAATAAAATAACATTAGAATCCTTCAACATTCTCTACTCCTCTTCTTTATTTTTTTCTGTACCACCTTACCAGTATCCTATAAGGTTTTTACTTGGTTACACAGTAGTGATCTCCTATTAGAGTGTAAGCTCTACCATTGACAACCATCATAGTAATAATTGATTCAAGTGAGACGCTTCAATGGATGTTAATCTTAGTGGATCAAGGTTTGATGAGGAATAGAGTATTTTATCTCTCTACAAGGTCCTTACTCATTATAAAGGGGAAAATGGCAACCTTATAGTGAAGAATCCTGGTGGACACTATCTTAACTAGGTAATCAATGTAAACAATCATAATGGGATACACTGATGTCATGTGCCTCTTGGTATGAAGCACAGCAAATATCACATCAGTTCTGTGGAGGATCTGCCAAAATGTAAAACCCAAGTCTAACCATGAGGACATACTTGGCACACCAAATTGGGGGAAAATACAGAATAACTGATCTGTACTTAAAAAAAAAAAAAAAAGACAAGGAAAGACTGAGAAACTATTCCTATTGTAGGAGATGAAAGAGGAATGACAATTGAACACAATGTGTGATCCCAGGTTGATTTTCTTCCCATCCATAGAATGTCATTGGGTTAATTGGTGAAGTTTATATAAGATCCACAGATTAGCTAATACACTGTATCAGTGTTAAATCCCCGATTTTGATGGTTGTATTATGGTCATATAAATGAATGTTCTTTTTTTTTTTTTTTGAATGTTCTTGTTATTAAGAAATACATGCTGTAATAGAGGTAGTAAGACATCAAGTCTGTAATTTCCTATTAATGCTTCAGAAAAACAGAATAGGCAAACGGGTAGAGGAAAGAGTAAACAACACAAAGGTGGCAAGACTTTAAAGTATTTGGGGAACGTGGGTGCAGGGTATTCAGGAATTCGTTTTCTTTTTTTGTTGTATTCTTTCTGCGACTTTTAAGTCTGAGAGTTTGTTAAAATAGAGGTCTCAAAAAAGTAAGAAGAAAAAGGATGTAAGCTACATGCATGCAGACAGGGCTTTCGACTTGCTTTGTTCACTGAGATGTCTCTAGCGCCCAGAAGAGCAGCACCCCACATGTTCCGTGCACGCGACAGGCCCCGTTGAATGCATGCCTACCAGTTTAGGACGGAGCCAGGGTCTAGAGGCTCAATAATCCCTTGTGAATGAAGGAGCACTGGCTTATGAGGCAGCCGTGCCAGCTCGGAAGGGGCCGACCACACAGCCGTTTTCTCCCCACGGCTCCCTAACAGACCGTGGTGCAGGCTGCAGATTGGCAGAGCCGCGGGCGGGCCTCTGGGCAAAGCGGCCAGAGCGCTGCGGGCCCTCCAAGGCTCCCCTGCGCGCCTCGCAGCTGGGGCCGAGACACACCTGCCGCGGCCAGGTAAGATGTTCTTACGAACTGTCCCACCTGTGGGCGGCCACGGCCCTGTGAGTCCCTGCACAGGTGTGGGCCGGGAGCGGAGACCGGGTCGGGGTCAAGGCGCCAAGGCCAGGAGGGATCGCAGCCCGCGCTCAGACCCAAGGGAGCCCTGGGGCCTCGCAGGGCAACGGGCCACTCACCGGGATGCCGAAGCGCGTCCGGTACAAGGTCCTCATGGCGACGCTCGCTCCGCACAGGCAGCATTCGTTCATGTCAGAGGCGATCTGACACGAAAGGCACAGGGGACAGAAAGCCCCACAGAGGCCTGGGTGCGGGGGGAAGGCACACAGAAGAGTTAGTGTAAGTCATCATACTTTCAACGAAATCACACCTCTTTCAGACAAGATGCTGGCTCAGAAAATGGCTTTAATGGGCGCTCGGAGAAAACAACGTCATCCTCTGGCTCCTTGGGCCTTGCTTCTAGAGCCATCTGTCCAGGAATTGGGGATAATTCGTGAGTCACTACACCAGATCAGATTTAATTGCAGAAGCTCATGCCTTGCTAATCTCAGCATGTTCACATTATCTTTCTTCCCTGCGCTTGTCACATTCGGGTCATGCTTGCAGAGGAAGTTTGTGGCGTCAGGATGTCTGAGAAGCCCTCTAAAAACTGGTAGGGCATTGAGGGTCAGGAAACACCGAGTGAAGAAATCATCAGGGACAAAGAGAGGAAATAGATTCTAGATGGTCATTCGGGCAAAAGGACTCTATCATCATCATGAGGATGGATGCAAGCAGAAATTAATTGGTATCAGTTGTTTAAAAAGTTGAGTGCAATTTCACTTTACAGAGTTTCTGTAGGAAAGAGGGCCTAAGAAAATGACAACAAACAGGAAACTGTTCTCAAATATGCTCGGAGTAAAAGTCTATTTTGAAAAGTGCTGGGGTGGAGTTCTGGTATGGCTGTACCCTAGATAAGAGAGTCTGTGGTTTTTTAACTGATTGTTTTTAAGCAGAAGGCGATCTCCGAAGAAACTGCAACTTCCATCATACACACAAAAAAGGAGGCTGTTTCTCACACACAATGTCAAGATGAGCCCCCACAGAGAATGTCTGTAACCCATATGGCATGAGACTCTGAAATAAGAAAAAATTTCTCACGCAAAAGTGTGTTTTGTAGTGGAAGTGAGTAAAGCTAAAAGCCTGCAGTGCTTCCTGAGATGGAACAGTGAGAAGAGTTGCAAGAATGTCACTGACAGCTGGAAAACACAGAACAGCATTGTCAGAAAAGGTAGAGGTAAGTAGAAGACAAGCTAGAGCAACGTGTCAAGAGCATGGTGATATAAGAGGTGAAAAACTGCAAAAGGCAATTGGTCTGGACGAGGATCACAAACTCAAGGTCATGCAGGTAGAATGAGTGAAATAGATTGGAAAAAACACAAAAGAGACAGCAGTGGGCACAAATAAATATGGCAAGCTGTAGAATGAGAATCACTTTTAGTGGGATCAGCTAATGCTAAGCAGCAGCTGAACTCTGCCATATGTAATGAAGGCTCATCTTTCCAGATTTTCCAATTTTCGAAAGAACTGGCAATCTAGAATGGAAAGTCAGATTTTTATGTGAAATCTGACTTTTATATGTTTCCTAGTATTTTTTTTTAAATTTTTTTAAATTTTATTTATTTATGATAGTCACAGAGAGAGAGAGGCAGAGACACAGGCAGAGGGAGAAGCAGGCTCCATGCACCAGGAGCTCGACGTGGGATTCGATGCCGGGTCTCCAGGATCGCGCCCTGGGCCAAAGGCAGGCGCCAAACCGCTGCGCCACCCAGGGATCCCTGTTTCCTAGTATTTTTAAATTGCTATCTGAAGAGAGCTCGTTAAGTATAGGATGAACAAAACACATCTGGTGGTTAAATCCACTCAATGGGCTTGGGAGTTGGACAGTAAAGCAGAAGCTCAGTGACAGGGTAAGTAGACGAGTTCTATTAGGTCAGGAACCTGAACTCCTAGAATCCAGGAGAAGCAATAAGTAGGTACACTTACAAATCCCCAGGTCATCAAAGCAGTCAAACATGCCAGTTTGCCAGTCGCTATTCATCATACTCCCTCCTGTACCATATCCTGGCTGCGAAACAACTGGATTCATTTTTAAGACTAAGTTCCAAAAGGCACTGCCTGTGAAAACAAAACCAAAAAATATTAACCCTACCTGTGTTGGTTGGATATCATGTAAATTTTAGTTGAGAGGACGTTTCATCACACTTCTCCTGATTAGGGTTGGCCACACTCAACAAACTTAGCAAGACATAGGTAACAGTCTATTATTGATACTTGGTAATTAGAAATTTCAAGGAAGTGGAGTGAGGGTTCATTTTTCTGGGTTTTCTGGGGGGATTTTGTTGCCCCTTTCGTTCTGATCTTATTTTCTTTTAATCTGCAAGATGATTTTTTTTTCTTCTATTTTCAAGACAACCATCCTGAGCAATGTCTATTTTGCATATGAGGTGTTTTATTTAATACTGCTTGTAACGACTCTTACAACACTATTGCATGGACATGATCTCAGTTGCTTCTTGAGAACTTTGTGAGATAGAGTTCTTTACTTCTCCAGAAAGTTGTCATTACACTGATGCCTCTAGCTAATGTCAGTCCTCATTGCCTAATTGCTACTGGTATCCTGATAGCTAAAGTTTTAACAGATGTCCTAGGTTACTTAAAAAAAAAAAAAAAAAGATTAACTTCTTTTTGTGAAATTGTCAGGCAAGAATCTGAAAAAAATGGTGGGAAGACTTTAAGCTTTCACAGAAAAGTCCGGTAGTTGCAAAACCACTAAGAAATAGTGTCTCTCAAACAAAGTGGGGCCTATACTTTTCAGATTTCATCCAGGGATCAAACGAAGTCTCCTAAGCTCTACCCAGTCAGAACTCCGGAGAATGTATTTGGTTTCAAAAAGGCTGATGTTAAAACGTTCTTGTGTACTGCTTCATATCTAACCATGTGTTGTGCTCTGGAGCCCTGACCCCTGCTCATGTCAAACACTTCCCTTAATCAGGTGTGAGGAAACATCCAGTCCTATTATCTGTCCACCTGTTCCATGTAGCAAGGGAAGGCCCAAGTCAAAGATGCTCCCAGAGTATATCTCAATCCTGACTGTGCACTAGGCTCATCCCTAGTGCTTAGTTGAAAACACACATACTTTTTTTTTTTTTTTTGAAAACACACATACTTGATTCTGATTCAGTAGCTGGGGTGGACCCTGGCAAGTAAAAGTTTTCAGAGGTGATTGTGATGTAGACAGCTCTGGAGACCACTGCTTACTGGTCATTTCACTCTCTTTCCACCCTTCCCAGTCCTCTTCTTAGCTCCTCCCTTGCCCTGCTCTTTGTTCTGGTTGATTTTGTCTACACTGACATCCGTGGCTATCATTAGTTGATTTCCCCGACAGGTGATTATGGAAAAATCATGGGACAATAAGAGCCAAGGCACTTTGACTGCCTTAGAAGTCTGCCTCTAATATTTATTATCAAGAACCTGCTTTATGACACAAAGGGAAAACAACCAAATTGAGAAGGCTCCATAATTATTGTCACATCTCACTAGGGATTACATTTGAAACTATTGGGCTAGATAAACATTTCACTAGAATCCAAAGATCTTTCTCCTCTCTGATTATTTAGGAGGACTATGACATCTTTTCTACTACCATCTTATCAGAGTGGGCACATGCTGTCAGCTCAATGTACTATCTGAAAAATAGTCACAAAATTTGAATAAATTGCACAGGTAATGTTGTGTACAATATTGAATGTTACAGATATACTTCTGGCCTGAAGGATGAATTATCCAATACCTTCAAAATATATACTGGGAAAATCATTACACAAAATGTACAAGTAGCTGTTGCTGCTGCGTGTGTATCATTAAAGAAAAATATGCCAGTAAGACTATATTCTTAATAGAAAATTACTTCTTAGAAGAAACATTGCTTTTGGTGAAAAAATTTGCATAACCAAACAAATCAGTTTAGCTAATGTATCAAGATGGAAAACTATGTTAAAGTTCTTTTCAATACTCCAACCCTAAAAATATTCTGGAGCAAAGACTATATTTTAACTATTCTTCCAGTGTTTCATTACCCTTTGCAGAGCCCTGGAAACATTTATTTGTGTGGTCAGCAGTTTACAGTAAGTATAAAATTTGCTGTGCTTAGTGTGAAGACAAAAGGCCAGTGAGGAGGCTCGAGAATCAGTTCTGATAGGAATCCTGAAATGGGTATAGGCTGTAATTACTCTACACACAAATTACATCTATCTTACATTGTACTGTTTGTATTAATTCAATTAATTTCTAATCTAACACAGGGACTCTTGCCACTTGTTCTTAAACCCCTAAATTCCTGTTCTTTAAGTAAAATGTTTACAAAACACACTACAGTGTATGTCTGTATGCATATATTATGTGTCTATTTATAGATTTTGTGCTTCTGTATGTGGATACACTGAGCAGTGGTTCTTACTGTCCTGTGCACAGGACTCAGTATCCTTTTAGAGTGTAGAACCTAGTGTAGAACCTAATTCATAGGGCCAGAGGCTTGTTTTGTTTTTTTTTTTTTAAGATTTTATTTATTTATTTGAGAAAGAGAGAGAGCAAGAGCAGGGGGAAGGGCTGAGAGGGAGGGAGAAGCAGGCTCCCCACTGAGCAGGGAGCCTGATGCAGGGTGATCCCAGGACCCCAGGATCATGACCTGAGCCGAAGACAGATGCTTAACCAACTGAGCCATCCAGGCGCCCCTGCAGTGGCAGTGCTGCTGGCAACTGGCCCGCACTTTGACTACTCAGTGTCTAGATCATGATTAGGAACTGGGTTCAAATTTATTTCCCACCTTCTATGTGTTCTTGGACAAGTAAACTAACCTCTTTGCTCCTCAATTTTGACACCTTTAAAATGATTATAGTACCGCTTTTCTCATGGGTTGTTGTATTACTGTGATGAGACTATGTCAATAGACTTATGCCTTTTAAACACTGTGTTTTCTGTATGGCAGTGAGCTGACATATGCCCCCTTGTGTCTATCTGAGGCTAAATGTTAAGTAATAGGTCATACACCTGACTCAGTATCAGGCAGTGCCTGGGATCACAGCTCCATAAAGCTAACACAGTGTGGTGATAAAATGAGCAATGGGGTAGGAATCTAAAAACTTGGATTTAGTCATTGCTGGTATTTGGCAGGCTCAAGCAAAATCCTGTTATGTGAAGACATTTTGAAAACTGCAAACCACTATATATATGAGAGAAAGAGAGAGTCTAAAAAGAGTCTAAGTGCCAAGAACATGGATGGAAAAACCTGAGTGTGATATGTTGCCAATATGACAATGGTTTACACTTGCTTTCCAAAGTGTGTTCATGCTTGATCTCTAGTTGACACTTATCTCTGTTTAATATTTCCAGCAGACTAAAGCACTCAGACAATGAAGGCTGATAACATGCTTTCTACTGTAGACATGAAAACTGAGGCAAAGAGATTACATGCTGGGGCTAGGGAAAGGTCATGATCACTAGTCCAACCTCCTTAACTTATAGATGAGGACATGAGGCTTGTCTCAAAGACTGAGTGTTACTCTGTATCCTCTTCCCAGTCTCTTCAAGAAGAAGACATGAGGACACCTCACAGGAAACGTTATAGAAACCCAAAGATGAGAAGGTAGACCAGTCAGCACGATCCAGTGGTTTTCATCATTGATGCTGGCCACAGACTCCAGCTTTCCAATCATTAGCTAATGACCTTGTCCCTCAGTGTCTTCATCTGTGAAGTGCACAGTATGTGGCTTCTAAAACTGTCAGGAGCATTAGATATTTGAAAAGCCTTTAGAGTGATGACTGGCATGGGATACATTCTTCATGAGTAGTAGTTACATAAAAGTGAGTACTTGGCCCTGGAGGGAAATCAGTAGAATCCCCTCCCCTTCTTTACACTCTCCTGTATATTATGGGATATGGGCATTTCTTCTATAAGGCCACAGATGAAAGGGAAAGAAACAGAAAGTAAGTCACATGCCTACAGTGACAGAGTGACAAGGCTGGGATCTGAATTCACTTCTTGGGACTCTAAAGCAGTTATGCTTATTTCCACCCAATCTGGGATCGGGAACCTTGGCCAGCTAAAGTGAGCCAGACCTGCTTAGGGAGAAAAGGTAAGCATATCTTAGGTTATCCTTTCCCAGGTGAATTTTGGAACCACAGGGAGGTGGTTTGTGACTAATGTTGCTTTTTTTTAAGTCATGTGTCTGTGTGTCTGTGTGTGCTCATGTGTCTTTCTTTATCCAGGTAGATATTTTTAGTGTTTTGAAAGCAGTCACTCAAAAACTCCTTTAGAGTTCCACCATACAGGTTCAGCTAACTGGTTCACAACTAGGATTATTTTGCCCCCCCCCCCGCCCCCGGGGACATTTGTCAATGCTTTGAGATATTGTTGGTTGTCATGATCAAGGGTGAGGTGCTATTGTCATTCTAGTGGGTGGAAGCCAGAGACTTTGCTAAACATCCTGCAAAGCACAGGACAGCCCCCACAGCAAACAATGTTCTATCCCCAAATATCAACAACAGTGCTAAGGTGAGAAACATGGTTAGAAAACATCAAAAGCCTCATGACACCTGAGCTTTGGGAGGGCTTCTAAAGGTATTTGATTCGGTTTTCTAGGGGTTATCTAGGATCCCTGGGTGGCGCAGCGGTTTGGCGCCTGCCTTTGGCCCAGGGCGCGATCCTGGAGACCGGGATCAAATCCCACGTCGGGCTCCCGGTGTATGGAGCCTGCTTCTCCCTCTGCCTGTGTCTCTGCCTCTCTCTCACTGTGTGCCTATCATAAATAAATAAAACAAAAAAATAAAAAAAAAAAGAAAGAAACCGAGGCTATAGTAGCCAGACAAGCAGTCCTTGTAAGGAATGGGACCTAACACTTGGCCTCCTAGTCACAATGTTTCAAAGGCTAGAACTCAGGGATCATAACACTACCCAGTTTCCCCATAGATTGGTTCATATCCTATTCTGAAATCCTGCTTATCCTGCCAGTTGCTCCCCTTCCACCACTTGCCTCTTTCTCTTCCTTCTGCTTCTTGTTCCTATGTGGACAGTGTAACTCTCCAGTTCTATTTTTTCTCTTTCAATAAACTTACTATTTTTAAAACTTTTTAAATTCAATTTGCCAACAGTGTATAACACCCAGTGTTCATCCCATCCCATCAAATGTCATTAGTGCCTGTCACCCAACTTCTTTTTTTAAAAATTTAAAGTCAATAAATTTTTATTTAAGGAATTTTACATGTGATTCCTTCCACTGCCCTTCATTGTAGTTTTTTCAAAGTCAGAATCATAATCTTCAGAATAGCCCTTTTTTTAAACTTTTTTTTAATTGAACTTTTGTTCAGTACAGTTGTCACTAGCAATCCGGAGTTCTTTCAGTTGGGCTTCTTTGATTCCAAGTGAAATATGAACACACTTCAAAAATTCTCCACCTGTAATCTTTAGAGTCCAATTTCTTTATTCTAGGGACACATTTAGGATCAGAGTAGACGGATCTGCCTGTTTCTCAATTCAGACACCTTCTAAACATGAATGAGTTCAAATCATATTCACCCCTAAACTATCACACCCTAGAATTGTACAGATTGTTGGGATATGCCAATATCTAAGATTTTAAAAATGTGACTATTAGGTCTTTCACATCATCTTAGCAGATAGATGTCTTACAGTTCTTTCCCACAGATCTAACACATAGTTCTGTGAATAAAGCAAACCACACATATACTCAATGAGGCATTTCCAACCACGTTGGTCTACAAAAAAAAGCCCCATTAGGATATACCTCAACTCTTTCGGTGAACTCCTAACTGAAGTGCAATATACATTCAGTGAAGTGCAGAAATCATAAGCATTACTGATGAATTTAATGGTGAACAGTTCTTGTAATCACAGCCTGATTTAAGAAGTCCATTATCAGCACCACAGAAGCCCACCTTACTCTTAGAAAGTCCCTCTGCCTCTGCCTGTGTTTGAGCCTTACATATATTGAATTATATGCACTATTTGTTCTTCTGTGTCTGGCTTCTTTTGCTCAAAATTAGGATTGTGAGATGCAACCATGTAGCAATAATTCATTTATTCTCATTGACATATAATAAATCATCATATAGATATAACACAACTTATTCATCCATGCTACCATTGTATTGTTTCCAGTTTGGACTATTAGGAATGGTACAGTAGTGCTATGAACATTATTGTACATATCTTTAGGTGGGCCAGGTATGTATTTCTATAGTGTCTACACCTAGAAATAGAATTGCTGGGTCCGGGGGTTGGTAGATAATGCCAAACAGTATTGTCAAATGGTGATACCAATTTACATTCCCATTAGTAATGGATGAGAGTTCCATTGGCTTCATGTCCTTATCAATACCTGGTGATGCCATCATCTTTCTTTTTACCCATAGAGTGCTACCAGAATCTGGGAAGTGGAAGCCTAGGCTTAAGACTGAGAAAAACAGAAATTATGGTTAAATGATTAAATAGAATTGCCATATTTAGGAAAAAATAAAGAAGATTGTTAAATTTGAATAAGTAAGTCCCAAGCAATATTTGAGACATAATAATACTAAAACATTTTTCATTCTTTAGTTGAAATTCAAATTTAACTGGGCATCCTGTATTTATCTGGAGGGTTTGGGGAATAACTTTGAAATTAGAAAATATGGTGGCAGTTTCTGCCCCCCAATTTACAGGAATGGAACTGGCATGAGGGAGGCCAAAAACAATGGAGATTTCCTAAGTTGTGCAGGAAGCTGTTTCCCATCCCCCAGGGAATGAGCAGAGGCCAAAGGACACTAACGGTGGCCATGATTTATGATTTCTATCTAAATTCTTACAAGAGCATTTCCTCTGGGAATGCAATTGCTTATTTATGGTTAAAGGAAGGAAACTGAAATTTCTTGAGCAGTTTCTACTGCTAATTTCCATTTTAAGCAATCTTAGGTACATGATGAGCCCCATAACAATCTTTTCTCCTAGTTTGAAACCAAATACCTGGAGCAGCATAGCCAGGTGCCCAGGCAGGTGAGCTGAATCCAAAGTCCACACTCTTCCAACCTACCAAGTCCTGTCTTCCAGGTCCTATCTTTAGAGGAGTCCCACTGACTGGCCCCAGGGCCTGCATGGGCTCCATTTCTCTCAACCAGTCTCAGCTATGCTGATGGGATCCACCAATGGCTATTACTCTCCTTGGGTTTCCCCAGGCTCCTCATTCCCTCTATTTCCATCCCTCCTTTCTCCTCTGTCCATTTCCTTCTGGCTTTCAGCTGCCTACCAGACCATTCCATGGGTTGTAGGCAACCCATTTCTGGAAAAGCAAAGTAAATAAAGTCAATTGGGAAGGCCCCGCTTTGAGTCACTTTGAGCTTCTTCAGCCCCCAACCAGCCTCCAGCAGGCCTGTCTTTTAGTGCAGGGATTGAGTCTGCATCTGGAACCAGTTGTCCTACTACCTTGCATCGCAAGCAGAATTCTGCAATCTCTGCAACACATGGGGACTCTGCCTCTGTACATGTTGTGTATAGACCAGAAAATGCCATTCCAAAATATGCCTTTATGGCATAAGAGTTATTCTGAATCCATTATTTTGAGAAACAGCACACATAGGAGAAGCTCTGAAAACAGAGTCAAACTTATCCTTTAAGGTAATTTACATTTATAAGGGAAAAATCTCCTTTTGTAAGTGCCCCCCTCTCCTATCAGGAGTAGAGGGATGACTCTATACCACAAGAGACTCATCAATGGAAAAAGTATGGACTTAAATCTGCATGACAAGCCTTTATTTTCCTGCTCCCTTTCTCATAACTGGCTTCCCCCACATTTTCTGTCCAGTGCCTTTAGCTAAAGCTGGTTTAAGCCTGAATTCTTTTTTGTTTTCATTGAAGTTCGATTTGCCAACATATAGTATAACACCTAGTGCTCTTCACATCAAGTGCCATCCTTAAGTCTGAATTCTAAGCCACTTCTGAGAGTTACTCATTTTCCTGCATACCTCCCATGTATATGAGATATATGTGTAATCTTTTTTTGTTTGTTTTTCTTTGTTTTCTTGTTTTTCTCTCTTTAATCTGTCTTTTCTTTCAGGGCCCCTAGTCAAGAATTTGGAAGGATAGAGGTTAACATATTTTTCCTCTTCTACAAAGTCGTTTCTGAAATTTTAGCCAAACCAGGAAATTTAAAAATGATTATTTATGCATGGTTGAAAAGATAAATTTTTTTTAAAAGGTTTGTTTATTCATGAGAGACACACAGAGAGAGACAGAGACATAGGCAGAGGGAGAAGTAGGCTCCATGCAGGGAGTCTGATGTGGGACTCGATCCCAGGACTCCAGGATCACGCCCTGAGCTGAAGGCAGAAGCTCAACCAATTGAGCCACCCAGGTGCCCCCCAAAAATGACATTTCTTAATCTAAACTAAATAATATCTGAAACAAAAAGCCTCTGGTCACTGCTCAGGGTGATGGAATAGTGGGAGCTGGGCATTCTGCCCAATTTACTGACGCCCCCATGTTAGGCCTTAGCTGAGAATATAGCTCTTCTCTTTATAGACTTGGACTGGGGAAAGGAGGTTCCTCACTTACCAGTATCTGGCTTCTAGTCTTCCCTCCCTCCCCAGATACATTCAGATCCTGCTCCTCCCAAAGAATTCCCTCTTGAGCTTCTCCCCACCCAGAAGCATCACAGCAAGCCTGCTGTTAGTCCTGGGTCTGATCTGTATCTGGAGACAGTTATCTGGATCACCTACAGAATGCAGTATTGCCTGTATCATAATAGGATCCTTGACTAATATACCACCAATCACATTATTTCTGAAATTTTAGCCAAAACAATGAAAACTCCATTACATGTAAGTTTAAAAACAATTGTGCATCATTGAAGTTATGGCATTTCCTAATTGAAGTTAAATCATTTCTATCACCAAAAGCCACTCCAAAACATTTTCCCTTTGGTTAAAAATGGTGCTCATGCTTGGTAATCCTTAAATTTAGAGCCCTCTCAGGAGTATTTGTTTATTTGATAGTGCTCAACTGGGAATTTTTCTGACACCGGGGGAGTCCTTTATCCTACTTTTGTCAAGGAAGTAAAGGTTTGTGCTCACTAAAACATTTAACTGAGGCGAGGATTGGTGACAAAAACCATAGAATACACTGGATCCTTGCAGGTCTCTTCTCACTCTGCCATCAACTAATTCATTCAGATTCTTTGCTACTTTTGTCTTAAAATTTGTTAATCTGCTGTCAGGCATACATGGCTCTAGGGGAAGAATGCCTGTTCACTCCTAAACAGTTTTAGGGTGCCCAAGGACTCACCCTGTTTTTTCAGTCCTTTGGCTGCCATTTCTTTCTCTTATCCAGTCAGGCCACAATGCTCACCAGTTTGCAGGCATTCCCTCCATCCAGTTCCTGCTGTGAGCTCCTGTCCCTTGTTTTCCTATTTACCTGTTTTAATATCTCAGCTAAAATGCCACCTCCTCCATGAAGCCATTCCTAATCCTCCAAGTTGGATTTGCCTGCTCCTGTTCAACCTTGCACATCACTCTCATGATGGGCTGGAGAGCCTGTTGGATGAGGGAGTCAGCATGCTGGGTGCTAGCCACACTTTCATCTTTTCTTTAAATGCCAATAGCAGTTTTTGCCTTTCCTCTAAATGCCAATAGCAGTATCTCCACTTTCTTCTCCCAAGGGTCATTGGGAAAGCCCTCAGAACTGACATTAACTTCAGATATGAGATTCAGAGATGTGCAAACTGAGCACTTATATTTTTCTTTGTTTTCTTTTTTTCATTTGCCGGTTTTTCTGACGGTGCAAGTGGGTTTCAGTCATCTGGGTCCCCCAAAGACAGTGACTTGCACATAGCCTAGAAAATACTAAGTAAGTATTGGGCTTCGGGATATATTACCCTAAAATATGGCAGCTTAGCATGTTGAATGTATTAAGGAGGCTGAGAAAATGGCAAAAGCTTGAAGGTCATTTTGACCTCTTCTTCTTGCCCTTCTTCCCTAAAAGCTATAGATAAATCTGTCATGTGAAAGGTACTTTCCTAGTACCAGGAACTGCTCTTGACATCCAGTGGATGGAGGCCAAGGACGCACCCCCCCCCCATTCTTCCTTCCAAATCCTCCACTTAATCCCCCATTCCTGCCAACAATAAAGTATTTGGCCCAACAGTGTCAAGACTGAGAAACTTACTCATACCCTCATCTTGTTCTTAAGAAGATTTGAGCAGCTCACAAACTTACATATATAACAAGATACAAAAAGAAAAAAAAAGAAATTTGTCACAGGGAAAATAAAGTCTGAGCAAATTTAGCATGTCCTTTAAGGTTCCCATACAGTGCTGGACATGGGCTGCATATGAGGTTCTGGGCTTCCTGCCAGGCAAAGAAAAGAGGGCATGCAAACATTTAGGAAATTGACTATGTCTATAAAATAAAAACATATTGATACCTAGAGAAATTTCTCATCAAGGTCCTCAAAAAAAAAAAAAAAAGGAGATGATATATGACATGTGGTGGTCCAAGTCTTTAACAGTATCTCTAAACGGAACTGTGACTTTCACGAACATATTTCCTAATATACGGTTAAATCACAATGCTGGAGCAGAATCACTGAAGGCAATCTACGAGCAGCTAAAATGATCCCAGCGAACTGCTTATCTCTGATCATCTGGATGATCCAAGATTAAAACATCAGATTTAAAATGTAGATTGTTCAGAGAGACACGTGGATGTATATTCTTGGGCAACCCTCCATAAGTAATATTTTCACCAGCTAGGACTTGATAAAAATTGGGCAGCAATGGGTCTGAATTAGAAGTCTTTTTTTTTTTTTTTGAATTAGAAGTCTTTGGTGAGAACCAGAGTTTAGATTCTCCATGAGAGCTGCTTATTATGCATAAGAACAGATATGCAGCAGGAAAGGGATATAAAGCAAATGTATTGTTATAAAAATTAAATGATGCAGTCAGGCCACACATCTGAATAGAAGGCACCCTAGTGTAGCACGGAGGGAGCTAACGGAGGGAGCTAACGGCTATCCTAACTCAACATGGAGATAAGATAAAGGTATATCTGTAAGAAAGCCTATGTTTTCCTCAGATACAAGTTCAGGGCCTGCTTTACCAAGTAACCGATAGTGAAGTTGAGAAAGGAAGAATGGCCAACACAGGCTACAACTGGCATTTAGATGATCATTTAAAAGAAGCAGATAGTGTTACGCTAAGAGATACCTCTTCTGCATGTACTTATGAATTGCATGTGATCATAGGAGTGATCAAAGTCCCAAAGTTGTACACCATAGAACCTGGAAAATGCTTATATCAGGTGTTAGCAAAGCCTACCCCCTGTGACAATAGAAGAAGGCAGTAAAACACCCTTGGAGTCCAATTTTAAGTAACTAACTTCCTGGTCAGTGCTATGGAGATCAAAGAATTGCAACGTGGAATCATAGCATAAAGAGTTGACCTTTTAAAAACACCAACCACTTGGGTCCACTGTGATTCTGACCCATTAGTCTGGGCGAGAGGATTAGTGACTTTGGAGCCGGTATGTTTAATGCTTCCCAGGTGACTCCAAGGTGTGGTGAGGGTTGAAAATCAGTGTATTAAAGAAAGCCTAGCCAAAATGATAATTTGAGTATTGAAATAGTGGAGCCTTAAGACTTGTACACAAAAATAAAACACATTTCCTCTCAATTCAAATTTCCCCTACCACTTAAATTTTGACTGCAAACACATATAATTATAAAAATGTAGCCAAAATAGAATGTTCAATGAAGACACCCTAAAAAGCACAAAAACATCAAAAGAAAAAAAAATCTGTTAATCCACCATACAAAGTTAACCTTATTGAAACTTGTGACATACATCCTTACCTGTAGTCCAATAAAAAAAAAAATTGTGGATAGGACCATGTTTTTTAAGGAATATTCTCCTAAATATGGCAATAAATCCATTTCTCCAACAGTGTAGAGAAGGCTGCTCCCCTTGCTGTTTCTGACACTCGGGGAGCAAGCGTTCATCTCTTTGAGAAGTGGCATTCAATCATTGTGCTCCAGCTCAGAATCATTATCTGATTAGTTAATGACTCTGGAGTTGGTGTAAAAAAGACAGAGAGGGTCTTTCTCTCTAAGAAAGAATTTAATTGGAGTTGTTCCAGCTCATCCCACAATTTATTTCTGTCTGTAGAAATAAAGGTTGAAATATTACTGAGTGAATCAATCTTTGAATTAACTTAAAAGTCCCAATTCATATGCAAATATCCTGAAATCCCTCACCTAAACCCAGATCCCTCACTTAGGCAATGGTCTATTTCCCCAGACTCCTGTCTTGCCTTTATTCTTTCTCTCCTCATATCCTTTCTAGAACTCGTCTCCAGTAGGAGCTCAGCAGAGAGGAATCCCAAAAGAAGAGGGTATCACCACCTCCTGGACTTGCACAGGGCTTGGCTCTCCCATGCTTAGCCTATCTGGTATCTGGTCACACCCACAGTGCAGCAGTCCCATAGATATCTCAGATTTAATATTTTGGCTACAAGAACTGGAAGACCTATGAAGCATAGCATTGTATTTTAAATATTGCTGTGACTCATATCTGAATTGGAATTACTTGCCCTTTTTACTAGTGTGGGCCAAAGCTCCTTTACCAGGGAAGTCACTACAGCCAATAGCCATATCCATTTCAGTACAGAACATCTCCACCAGACTTTATTTATTTATTTATTTATTTATTTAGTTAGTTAGTTAGTTAGTTAGTTAGTTTTGGGTAAACAATCAAGTTTGTTACATGATGTTAAATTTTGTTTTACTTTAAGTAAGTGGAAGAGTCTCCCTCACCCTTATCTTCCCCATTGTAATGGAAGTAAAGAGGGCTAAGATAGTGCTGGTCCTTAGCCATATAGTCAACTATCAAAACTTGCAGGCTATTGAGTTTGGGTGGTATCTTAAATTTAAAACTTGACCGGGGTGGGGGGTGGGGCGGGTAGGGCTGGGGCGGCACCTGGGTGGCTCAGTGGTTGAAAATCTGCCTTGGGCTCAGAGTGTGATAGTGTGATCCCAGGGTTTTGGCAGGGAGCCTGTTTCTCTCTCTGCCCATGTCTTTGCCTCTCTCTCTGTGTCTCTCATGAATAAATAAATAAATCTTTAAAAAATAAATAAAAAGAACGTGACCAGGACCCATCCAATACTTTATCAGAAAACAGCAAAACCATTTTGAGTGCTCTACTTGGTATAAATAGATCTCAAAACTTCCATGAAAATACAGTTACTGGTGACCATGAAACATTTACATGTTGACAAATTTAGTTCAGGCAAAAGGCAGCAGACTATACAAACACTTGATTATAATTTTTTTTTTCTCAAAATCTTCCAGATATACTTTTCTAGAGCATGGTCTATACACCAAGAGCATCATCCATTAATTTCACACACATTTGTCTCCATTTTCACTCCCCCAAGTTAAACTCAAGTGAGCTTCAGTGCAATCTTCAGTGCTAATTTCTCAATAAAACTGATGGCTACATGGGATGCCAGTTCAGGCTGCTGGGCTTCCTCCACATTTTGCTAACACATTGAAGTGCTCTTAAGGTCAGTTACCTCCCAGGAGGTAAACTAAGCATATCCTTAGGGCATCAATAAAGCTAGGGCAATAAAGTAAAATAAATGAGAGAAAATTTTAGAAAAATATTTAGTCTTCCTGCTGAAATGAATGCAAATCCTTGAGGGAAATATTCATAATTATATTGGCCTTGACACTGATTTACATATGAAAGGGTGTAGACCGGTAGTACACCATAAGTACATTTTCCAGTACATTTAAGATGTCTAAAGACGCCCATCAGGTCAGCTGTTTCCAGGTCCTTCTCCCCTACTGGAGTCAGGGTCACAGCTCTGCTGGTGCTGGCCATTCAACTTTTAATCCCACCACAGTGCCTGGATGCTCAATGGGTGTTTTTTTTTAAAAAATGAACAAACAAATTCATGAATATAGAAACTGTTAAGTTTCATACACATGATTGTAAAGTCTCTGGACTAGACATCTAGATGTCAGAAATACCACCTCCCGACCCCCACCTCCCTTGTAACAGTCATTTTTAAGAAATGTGCTAGCCTTAGGGGTCTGGACAAAAGAGGGAGGGAACAAAGCTTCTTTTTTCCTCTTCCGTTAAATCATGTAGGCGAGAAAAGCTAATCATTCCGTCAACAAGGAAAATACTGAAAGCCGACTTGGTATTATTGGTGATAATAACAATGTAACAAATTGGGAAAGGTAACAAGTGGCCAGATCACTTGTTTTTGTTTTATAAAAACAGAGACATTTAGCATTAATTCTGACAATAAGATAATAATAAGCTTCAAGGTGACTGAAAGTAGAAATCGTGCCTCCCTACCAGCAAAACTAATTCCAACAGCAAATCCTGAAACCAATGGTAAAGACACTTTCTAGAAGCAACTTAATATTTAAAATATTCTGTTTAAACACATCAGTCTTCATGGTAATGCAAAGATTTCTTCTTTAATGATCAAGAACATTTTTTCCCTCTTAAAAATGCATCTCTAGTAGCACATTTTAAAGAAACAGGCTACAATTTACCTCGGCTCTTAAGAATCACTACTGCCAAGTTGAATTTAAAAGACAACTGCATGCTGCAGACTTACGGGTTTAAAAAAAAAAACCCAAAAAACTCAATGAGGCAAATGATGAACATGTACCACTCAATTCTGCCCTGGCCTGTATTAATTACACAGTAAGATTTTACTGGTTCTATCGTTTATTTTTTAAATATTTTTTTTTCTTTCGAAAGAAGATGGGAAGGACAAAAGGTTACACAACGGAAAGGTATTATTTTGTATTGCAGTAATACTCACCCCACTCTGGTTAACTAGGAGGCCAGCAGCCCAGGCCAAGCAGGAGAAGCCCCAGGGGTACAACTGCTTGGCAGGAGGCTGCAGCCTTGCGATGTAGTAGCTGGCAAGGGTGGGGTTAGGGGTGGGGAAAGTCAGGAGGTGGGACAGGAGGAAAGAAAGCTAGTTGTCTCTACTGCCTTGGAGGCCACTGTTTTTCTATTTAAGAAAATGCACAATGCATTTTATCTCACTATATTTATTTTCTGTGATACTTGCCTGACAAACCTCGCGCCCTTAGACAGCGAGATTTATTTATGATTAGGCAGAAACACGTTTTATGAAGGTCCAAATTTTGTTTATTTACTTAGGGTTTCTCTACTTTTTCCCCTCCCTAAGGCACTTACGCGGCATGGAATGTGTTTAAAAGTAAGCGTTGGGCAGCGGGTCTGAGGTCTCAGAAATGCTAAAGAGATAGGCCACCTTCCTTCTGGCCAGGTTGTTGGGACTTAGGTTCCAAGCTAAGGGGCTGGGTGGCTCGGACAAGAGGAGTTAGTGAAGGGTAAGGGGACAGAGTGCGGATGTGGCCAGTGGCATTTCAATACCACTCACCTGGTGCCAGTGTGGAGAGTGGGTTCTCACAGATGAGACCGACATCAAGGAGCTCACTGTGGGAGCAATTCTACGAGTGAGTGAAGGGTGCAGAGGGCCTGAGCAGGGTTAGAAAGCAAGAGGAGGGATTTAACAGAAACTCAGGACAGGAAAAGGCAGTTCTTCGAAATTGGGCAGGGGAATGGAAGGGGAACTGCCTCACTTATCAAATCGTTAGACAGGCACATAGATACACGATACTGCGTCTAAAACCTCAATTGCTTCCAGACTGCCCACTAAAAAGGAGTTAGCTTAGCAGAGGTTGAAATGTCCTTCATTCCTATCAGTGTGGCCCTAGCAAGTTGTATTTTCTTTCATAGGGTTTGAACAGAAGAGCTGAATGCCTCACATCCCTCAGACTGCTTTCTGTTCCCCCAGGTGAGACATGTGTACAGAGGGAGCTGGTGGGGGAGGCACCAGGTAAGCGGAAAGGGGTTCTTGAGTGCTCACCTCTCTCCCAGGAACGCTTGCCTAGACTATTCACATGCACATGTACCATTAAGTGGAAAATTCACTATCAGTAGGATACATGCTTCTGTTTTTTAAAGATACATTTATTGGGACGCCTGAGTGACTCAGTGGTTGAGTGTCTGCCTTTGCTCAGGGCGTGATCCTGATCCCGGGATTGAGTCCCACATCAGGCTCCTTGTGACAAGCCTGCTTCTCCCTCTGCCTGTGTCTCTGCCTCTCTCTGTGTGTCTCTCATGAATAAATAAAATCTTTAAAATAAATAAAATAAAGATGTGCTTATTTATTTGAGAGAGAGAGAAGGGGGAGGGCAGAGGGAGAGGGAGACAAGGACTCCTCGCTGAGCAGGGAACCCGATGCAGGAGCTTCATCCTAGGACCCTGAGATTGTGATGAGCTGAAATCAAGAGTCGGACGCTTCACCAATTGAGCCCCCCAGGCATCCGTATAATAAATGCTGTCTTATTTCAGGTCCCTGGCGTGTGAGCAATAACCACTGTGTACATAGGCCACTTCCCTGTCCTGGAAGAGCTCACGGCCTGGAAAGTGAGACAACTGAACAGTCTGTACAGAAAATATCATTAGCATCTTACAAAGTAAGAGGTCACCTGTTCTAGGCCACTAACTGGGTGGCTCTTGGACAAATCTCTTAACCAAAAAGACTGTGATTTATTTAGGAACTGGTATGTGCCCAGCACAAAAGTGTTGCATTTCAATCGTTTCATATATTAGTATATGTTTTCACCACTTGATAGTCACAGCAAGAGATGTGCCCCTATTTGGCTTCATTCTAATAAAGAAGAAAGACAAAAGAAAAACACATGGAAGCACAAATAAGACCTAAGTATGGATGCCTGGGTGGCTCTGCGGTTGGGTGCCTGCCTTCGGCTCAGGCCATGATCCCAGGATCCGGGATCGAGTTCCACATTGGGCTCCCTGTAGGAGCCTGCTTCTCTGCCTGTGTCTCTGCCTCTCTTTCTCAGTCTGTGTCTCTCATGAATAAAAAATAAATCTTTAAAAACAAACAGACAAAAACAAATAAGACCTAAGTAAACCTATAAATGGACACAATAGTTGCATTGTTCTAAGAGTCTCAAAGAAAATTGTCAAGGGGCTGAGATTCTGAATAATGGGGTAGTAAGAAGGAGGCTTACCTTGGACAGGGTGGGCAGGAAGGGCCTCCTTGAGGCAGAGCCAAAGGAAGAGCAGCGGCTGGCTGAGTGGAGGGAGTGGTAGGAGAATCCTGGTAGATGGCAAAAGTCCCCCTGTAAACTCAGTGGATTTTAAGGAACTAAGAGGGGGTGACCGCAGAACAAGCAATAAACATTCTATTGGACAACGTGCGGAGCCAAGGAATAGAGGTGGAGATAGTTTTACAGGACTATTCAAGAAAGTCTCCATGGAATGCTGTATTTCCAAGACAGATTGGCAGCCTGGATTGTTTGTATGCATGCATGTGTGTACGTATGTGTGAATTCATGCTGGGAAAACCACCAGGCCATTTGTTAGTCTTTTCATGATTGATTAAAGGAAGTGGCATGGCCACAACCTCGCTTCTGTTGCTTCTCTCTCTGCAAAAGGGCTCAGCAAGCTTTGGGGCTGAGGATGGGTAGATTTAGTGATAGATGACCAGTTCCCTGAGAAACATAGTCAGGGCGGCTGTGTGTGACGTCTAACATGAGTGAACTGCATTAGGGTCATTGCCATTTTCAAAGTCATTGCCATTTAGTCAAAAGGGACTAAATAACCACTGGTCTGGGCCATGTGGAGGACTGCTTGCAATGAATTCCATAGGTCCTGCTCCTGGGGTTAGCCACCCAGCAAATATATATCCAGACAGTATGGCAGAGTGGCGCTAAGTGTGGCCTCTGGAGCTAGAATCACCAAGACTGTGTGGCCTTGGACTAGTTAGTCACTGTCTCTGAGCTTCTGATTCCTCACAGGGCTATTTTCAGGATTCAAAAGTGAACACGTCCTCACAGTCTCTAAGTATGTAGCCGGTATTCACAAACACTGATTTTCTTTCTTCAACCCTGAGTTAGGGAAGTGGAGAAAAGGCACCATAATGAGAACAAATTGAGGAAGGAGGCCATGCAGACTTGCCACATAGCATGTGTGCAGTGAGGGAGAGGGGGCAATCGAAGCTACTGCCCTGGCACTTTGCTTAGTAGTTGTATAATTTAAGGTTTTCTGACTTAGTCACAGAATATTAAACAAAAAGGGGATTCATTGCCTAATGTCTGAAAAATCCTGGGCATGACCAGCTTTGGGACCAATTGTTGCAGGGCTCACCCCTGTGAAGGGCCTGGTCTGTCCTCCCACTGCCTCCCCTCTTCTTCATGCTGACTACACTTCTGCTCAGAATTCACATGCCCTGGACTGTTGTCCTCCCAGGTCCTGGGGCACGAGAAATTGACAATAGTTAACATCCATATCTGCACACTATATAAGTACTGTTCTAATTTTTTTTAAGTTGGCTCCACACACAACGTGGGGCTTGAACTCACAACGCTGAGATAAAAGGTCATGTGCTCTATAGATTGAGCCAGCCAGATACCCTCTCTTCTAATTTTTTTTAAAGATTTATTTATTTATTTATTTATGATAGACAGAGAGAGAGAGAGAGAGAGAGAGAGAGAGGCAGAGACACAGGCAGAGGGAGAAGCAGGCTCCATGCCGGGAGCCCGATACGGGACTCAATCCCATTCCAGGACCGCACCCTGGGCCAAAGGCAGGCGCTAAACCACTGAGCCACCCAGGGATCCCCTAATTTTTTTTTTTTACATAAATTGATACTTGTAATTTTCACAAGAATGAGATAGGTAGGAAAACTGAGGCAGATTAAGTAACTAACCTGAAGTTGCAAATGAGAGACAGAGGAAGGATTTGAGCCAGCAGTCTGGTTTCCAAGTCTGAGCTCTAAAGAGCCTCTTCTGAAAAACAGCCACTATCTCTTTGGACCTATTTGTACTAAGGTTGTTGTGTTTGGGTCCCTAAGGCTAGTAGAAGGTGATGTCTACTTGTCCAGTGGCAATCACTTGCCCATCCTGAAGTGGGCACAAGGAAACACCATGCAGAGCTCCCAGGCTGGGCAAGGGGAGGGACTGGCCGCCAAAGGGGATCTGGATACTCCATTCAGAACAGACAAGTGAGGGGCACCTGGGCTGCTCAGTGGTTGAGCGGCTGCCTTGGCTCAGGTCGTGACCCCGGGGTCCCAGGATTGAGTCCTGCATCAGGCTCCCTGCAGAGAGCCTGCCTCTCCATCTGCCTGTGTCTCTGCCTCTCTCTCTGTGTCTCTCATGAATAAATAAATAAAATCTTTAAGAAAAAAAAAGAACAAACAAGTGAAACAAGAGCTTTCCATCATGACCAAGATGGAAAAGAAAGAAGAAAAAAGGGAGGAAATGATGAACTCAGTGGGCTAAGGTTTAAAGTCCTAGAAAAGCATTCACGCAAAGATATGGCCCATTGGACATATTGATTCATACTTCAAATAAGATGATGATAAAATGGTGAGCAAAGAGACACTGGACCAATGAAGACAAATGAAAGCGGGAGCAGTAACATTAATCTCAGACAAAGTAGAACTTCAGGCTAATAGCACTTAGAGTGTAGGGAACATTTGTCTGGAGTTATAAAAGGCACAAATAATAAAGAAGATAAAACAGTCAAGGGAGACATCAAAGAACATAGCAGCTAAATACATAAAGGCAGGAAGGAGACCTTGTACAATTAATGAGAGATTTCAAAATACCTTGCTCCCAATCATCCAGAATTCATCATCAAAATAATCCTTCAACTCAACAAGTAACACAATGTTTTAACAGTCAAAACTTTATTCAGATGAACCAAATAATATAATCAAATAACTTGAGATAACACATATAAGGATTTCTTACCTGCCACACATAAAGACAAATTTTTCATAAAAATGAAAAATTAAAGGTACATGATGAATGTG